CCCCCCCCAACCACTCTCGACTTTTTCGATTTGATGTTCCTCTCCCTCTGTGAAGCCCGAAGTCAACTAAAGGGCTAATGATAACTATCATAAAGCCTGCCATTTGGTATAAATAAATACCTTTGTTCACGTCGTGTTTGCCGACACAAAATAATGTCAAATGAGCACTTCTTTTCACTTATTTTGAGGGGTGATGGGAGGAGGGGGGATAATCTTGCTAAAAGTTGATCACAACTCAACCGGTTCTTCGACCTTGCACAGAAGTTATCTCAAGCAACTGTTATTGCCTACTTATCTAGGCAAATGCCAAGGTGCACAAAATTGTTGGCTATTATAACAATTTATCTACCAATTGGAGGCCTGTCCATTTTGTAATGTTTCAGATTAGAGGGCGAATAACAGTTTCGATCACAAACACTGTTGATCACGACATTGTTAAATCATCCGCCATCCATATTTGAACCAATCACGTTCAAGCGCAAGTGAAATTGATATGGTCACTGAATGGTTCGAGTGCAAAGCACAAATAACGTATAATTTTAGTCCCTAAATATCCTAAAAGCACCACCTCTGTCCTCTCTTAGTGATTCTGCATAAATTCCAGCGCTCACCATCCATGAAAATCTAGATCATATTGCTGCTGTTCATACAGAATTTGAAATAGTACCAACACAGCCTTTTGCCAAAATACTCCATAATGCAGACAATTTATAGGGGTCATATCAGCACCATATTGATAAGGGTCATTGCATAATTTGCCAACCAGCAATGTACACAATAAAACAGCCCTTTGCCTTTCATCATAAATTAAAAGTTTCATAAAGCGTTTCATAATCTTAGTTTTTTATCGGATGTGATTTGAACCTCTCGGATGGATTAACAGCCTTTGCTGAGATACTTACTGAAGAAAAATGAATGCGAAATGTGGAGATTTTGTTTTCACAATTGGTCTTGAGAAATTTGAGGAGAGCATATGCAACAATTGCACTTAATATTGATTTTCACTACAAATTTATTTTCCCAATTTCTCCATTTTGCGAATAAAGTTAAACTCATTTGAAAGCATAAAAGCCTTGCAAATCTGAAGCAACCAGAAATAGGTCTTGAAGTGCTTAGACTGGTGAATCCTGATGCTTATTAATCAGTTTAGTTTCTATTTCTAACAGGAACCACAAAAGAAACTAGCATTCTATTTACATATGGGTTAAACGATTATTCAAACACATTGGATTTCACGAGTGCTTAAAACTGCTTCCTAGTTAGATCGATTTCAGAATTACTTAATGAATGGCTAAATTATCTTCGTCCCATAGTACATTGTGTCAACCCCTGGATATCTTATCTATCATTACCTTATCGATTCTCAATAATATTTACATTGTGTGTGAACTTTCTCAGGGTCTGTTAACGTGTGAAGGCGAAATTCTCAGCTTTTTACAGCTGTGAGGAATAATAGAGTTTTTCTCTGATTTGCATGATTTGACTCACTTGACAAATTTGTGCGTTTTCGAAGGTTGGTGACTAAATTAAGTTGACAGGATTCGGAGTAAACGGGTAAAGCACAGCCTAACCATGAGATAAATTATGCTGAATTCTCTCCATGGTAGACTCGATATGTAAATCTTGAGAAAACAAAGGGGAATCTGCGCAAATGCAGTAAAAGTAAAGAGTTTAATGAGTGTCATTGGAGTTCGATGAAAGCGCATTGTATTTTATCTATAGTGGTAAGATTAATTGTCAAGAGATTTAGTGTCAGAGGCCATTCAGCATATCGACATTGTATGGTCAAAGTTGTATTTTAATAAATAAGTTGTGTCAGTGATACACAACCTCAATAAAAGCTATCAGATTATACTCTCTGTTTCCTTGATATTGGTGAATCAGCTTATCCGATTTCATGAGTTATCTCATACAAGAGGAAACTGTCATTGAGTTTATAAGTCTATATTTGAGGCATATATGTGTAGCATTCACTACAAGGTCTAGATCAGAAATGAATTCGGTCACAATATCTTATTCTGAATGCCCTTTCTACGCACAACTCAACTGTTGGAATACATCTTAAGCCACTTGAATAATATTTCATAGTATTTCCTCGGTTTAGGTAAATTGTTCGACAGCCCTTAACTTGGAATATTTTTTTATGATAAAACAAAGATAGAAAAGTGTCAGTAATAAGTAATCAATAAGAGACGTGCAATTGGGTGACCAGAAGGACCTTCTGGAATCCAATTCGGTTTTTAAATTAATATTTCAACTGCAAGAAGTTGCGATAAGCTTATACAGACATTAGGTTTCTTTTGACCGTTCTGCACTCTGTAAAAACGAAATGTGGAGAAATTTTGGAACTCCAAGAGTTCTTTTACTCCTATAGCCTACAAAACAGAAATTAAAACCGACAATGGGGGCATAAAAATCCACGAGGGTGAAGAAGGAGTCACACAAACCTCTCATCTCCACAAGACAGACTGTGAAAGTCATGAATTCTTTTAGTCAACTCATATAATTCATGCAGCCATCAATAAATGAACTTAAAATAATTTTGGTTGATTAACAAGAAACGATGTTTAGCCTTAATATAGGTAGTTAGAGTGCCCTTAAACAAGCGATTACTGACTACAGCTAAGTTTAAGTGTGTAACGCAGTAAGCGATAATTGAAATATCAATTTTACCCTTTGGAATTTTAAGCAACATTTTACTAGGAAACAAATAGTCATCGAACATTCTCCAACACCCAAAGGTGCAACAGGCCTTAGAAGCGCTATCGACATCAAAATATCTCACTCTTCCCCGCCCTCAACATGATGTTCTTACTTTGACCTCGATTTAAGCATTGTCACAGAACGAAAACTAATAAGTCCACGTCATTCACTATTTGTTAATATTGTTAATGCAATTTCTAACATGCAATAAAGGTGAAAACATTTTCAATTATGCAATTAAGTTATAATGCTTTATAGGTTTTAGTTCATGGTTAATTAAAGGAGATAAATAATTACGGTGCCAAACCAGGGTAATTGTAATCATCATAGTGAACTTTTAATGGACTGAAGGTTGTTTGAGTAAGAAGAGATGAGCCTGGAGTAATGTCAATACCTGATTCCTGACTAAATCCTGATGTTACAGGTGGTTTATTGACTTCCGATAAGGAGGCAGATCCTGAGACATTTGAGTTCATTGTGGAGTTTTCTAACGCCTCAGTCGTATTGCTACGTCTAATGAAATAACGTCTCACAGTACGCCACTGGGATCTTAATTTAGCATTGCTGGAGGTTCCTTCATAGAGACACCGATCAATCTCCTCAAAAACTGGATCCAAGTCCCTCATTGGAGCTGAATTAACATACGCCAATAGAAATAGAAGTGCACACATCTCAATAAAATTCATCGTTTAAGTGGACTATGGTACATGAAGTCCAACTGTTTTATACTTGGGACTCCATTCTGTCCAAAGTTCAAGAAATAATTAATAGCCTAAACAGCCTACACCAAGAGGGTGAGCTCAAAACAACACACTTGATACTTAAAATAATCCTCAAAACTCGCTTCACCTAGATGGAATGGAATAAAAAACACGAGACATTTTATCAAGGTCCAAAACACCAAATACACAGAATTCTTTATTAAAACAGTAGGTACAAATTAACTATTAATCAGAGGTTGTGAAAAAGACTATGTCTCAATTAATCTGAATCTGCATGCACAGCACACGGACGCTTAAACATATTTACAAATGGCCAAGGGAAGAAGGATCGGATGAGCTCATTCTCAATCCGCCATAGTGACACCAGCGCCTTCAAGCTCAGCGAATAATCTATTGGCAGCGGCTTCAACCTCTGGCTTTTTATCTTCCATTGCTTCTGTCAAGGCAGTGTACATGTCTGTTTGAAGACAAGCTAGCAAGCCAAGCTCTCCATTGTCTCCCTCTGTAAGAATTTCAAAGGTCTGTCTAAGTAGGTGCACGCCAGCCAAGCGAATTCGCCATTGAGCATTTCTGAGTAGAGCACAGAGGGATGATCCAAAAGGTCGTAAAAGAGCTTCATCACCATTAATTGCTTTAAGAAAGGCATCTACACAGGGCACAAGATCAATTTCAGTAAGACCCAAGATGGGAAATGAAAGGGGTTGAACAATAATCTGTGGAAGAGCAAGAACTGCTTCCGTGCCTGCTGTATCTAGACAAGTTGATGAAGCAGCTTCGGCCTGAAGCCAGGCTGTTATAGCCGCGTAGGTTGCTCTTGCACATGAACCAGCAATCGATGAATTCGCGTTTGATATGCCACTTGAAAAACATTTTGCAAGATAAGAGAGCTCTAATTGATCTGCAATATTTTTGACTCCTAAAACGACAAAAAAAGTGAGAATCAAGAAAAGCAAATTAAACACTAATTTACAAAACCTACTCTTGGATCTGTTTTCGCCGGATAAAAGGGAAAGTGTACATATAAAGAGATGAGGCAGGAAAGTTTCTTTGATTAGATTTAGGAAATTTTGTACTGAGAGTTTGGACGCCAATAAGTGAAGAACAGTGAAAAAGCTCGCAAGTCGTGACATAACAACTGAGGAGCTCGGACTGTCCAAAACCAGCCATCGAAGACATTGCCCAATTAATTGTAGACGACTATTATGACTTAGAGCAGTCAAAAGTGAGGCACAAGCCATACCTGCTGCCTTAGCAACATTTGAGTCTAAACCGTTTTGGGCTGAAGAAACTGGATGGCACTCAAGCCCTAAACAAATGATATTCCAAACAAGGAGAGGTTCTGATGCGTAGGTAATGTCGAGAGTGTTACTACTTTCTTCACCAGATGCTGAGGCATCTAAATCGACACTACCCTTCGCAGATACTGCGAGCATACGATCTGCATGGCGAGAAATGAATTCCAGACCACCAGAAAGAAGATCCTATAAGACAGACAAGTAATTAGCACGATTGAATTCGCTAAGATTAATTTTTCTACTACAACTAGGTAAGCAGGAAACATACCGAATCAGTATCTGGTTTAGCGTCTTTCAAGAGGTCATACGCCAATCTGAGTGTATAAACCGATTCTGGAAGAGCAACCAGTTGATTTCTTAAGCGGTTTAAGAGTGCAACGCTCTGTTTCAGTGAAACAGATGAACGCTCAGGATTGGCCTTAGTAGCAACAGCGAGATTGAGATTTGTTGTCCGGAAAACAAATTTGAAGAGGGAGGCATCAAGTGCCTCCGATGAGGCATGTCCGTTACGATTCACAGAGGAAACTTCTTCGCTTAGTACCTGAAGAACTAGCTCAGACTGATCATCGATGTTAGCCTTAATACTGAACTCGAAAGCTCCAAGCATGAGTGTCACGCCAGCCTAAAAGAAATAGGCATGAGCAAAATATTCGATTTAATTAAGCAGGAAACAGGATTGGCCACATACCTGAAGGTGCTGTTCACACGAGCGGAGGACCCCAGTAACTGCTGTGGTCGAACCCACAGGGCGATCTGCCAAGCCACAGGCAGTTGAGGCGTGATTGAGAGCAAATCGAAGGGCCTTTCGAATCCTATTTCTTGTTACTAAAGATGAGCTAGGACCGCGAATTGAAATAAATGAAGGTGACAGATGGGCCAAACACGTGAAGGCAAATAGGCAGACCATAGATCGCACATCAGCAGCTTCAGTAGCCATCTTAGCCGTTTTACTAACTCCATCACTATCAGAAGGCCACCAGTTAGAAACATTGATTGATAGAAGGTGATCTAATATCTGAAAGGAAACAAATATATTCGGCATTTTTTACAAGGGTCCACACCAACGTAGTAAATGTGAAATCAAGAACTAACCTTAACCATCATTTCAGGATAGGCCTCACACAACAATTGTGCAAGTTTTTGAAGGCAAGAGAATTGTAAAATGGTGTTCCTATCTGAACTAAGAATGTTGCTGGAAGTAATGATTGAAGATGAGAGTTTGTCCAAAATGTCAACAAGACCTTCTTTGAGCGTGTTTTCCATTTTAGGAAGGGGTTTAACACTCTGCTTGGTAAGAAGTTGAGCTGGATTTGGACACTTAGATGTAAGACTTTCCAATTTAGCCAAGAGCAATTCTAGTGCCTTTCTTGTCAAATTGGTCTGTTTGAATGACATCAAACGACCAACAGACCTCAAAAACGTCTGACTAGACATCAGGCCATTCATCTTAACCAGAAGTGATTGGAGATTGACGATGGCATCTTTGCGAGTAATAGCATCATCGTCGGAGACATCCGCCTCAATCGTAGATGTTGTGCTGGAAATAAGCAATTGAACGACAAGTGGCACAATGTCTTCAAAAGATTCCTGAATCTTAACTAAGGAATCCTTGACAGCATTCTCTTGGCGAATGCGATGACCAGGTGTTTCGAGGAGATTGGTGAAGAATGCACTGACGTTGGCCAATAGGGGCCAGAGACGAATTTCACTGCCAGAACGAGGAACGCAATCACTTGATCGACTTCGCTTCCGACCACTCAAGGAAACTTGATCGAAAAGATTGACTCTATCAGATTTGGAAAGGTGCTTTAGAAGAAAATTGTACTCGCAGTCGCAGGATTCTTCGTGAGATATATCCTGAAAATTATTACAAAGAATTAAATATCAAGAAAGATAAAAGGAATTACAATGCGCGCCTTTATGACATCAATTTCTAGTAGCTACAATTTAAAACATCACTAAAAAATAACAGCACCTGTGAAATAAATTTACAATCTAATTTCACAGCTTAAAAACTCAAAGTTCTACCAGCATACAAGCCTCAAATCACATTCCTTTTTTGGTCCCTCATTATAACAAACCCAACTCTAATATCGTAGAAAGAAAAATATCTTACCAAACGCGGACGCTTAGATTGATTCTCCTGAGCTTTCTTCAAGTTCAAAACCGAAGGATTCGAAATAAGGTACAGATAGAATTTAAAGCATTGTTGCCAGGCGCCTAATTGATAAGTCAACTCGAACTGATTAAAAAGATCCGTGAGCAATGAAGGCACGAAATTAGCTAAAGTCAAGAAAAACCAAAATAAGTTTTCTACTCAAGCTTAAAAGTAGTGAGTTTAGTAATGAGAGAATAAGAACCTGTTTCGTCAGTTGGATAGTTTGTGTTGAAGAAAGCAATAGCTGCAGTCCATAACCATCCAGAAAGAGCGAATTGTTTTGCAACCCGCTTGTTAATGCCCGTTTCTGTAAGAGGGGTAGGAGCGGTAACATCAGCTAGACCACGTACAAGACCGGCATAGAAGGTCAAACAACGTCGGGGATGGTTAGTAGGCAAGTCCGGCAGTCCACGGACAAAGACGTCAAGAACTTTCAACCCAGCCTCAATCCGAGAGTTAGAGACCTTCAAAAGAGCTGGTATGGCAGTGCAAATCAACCGATCCATAAGGTGGAGATTTTGAACATTGTCAATTTGAAAGAAGATTGAATGACCCTGATTAGTGCCACTAATCCATTTAATTAGAGTCAGCAATTGTTCACACAGTGTCACGGGAAAGAGAGATGCCATTTCAACAAGGCATAACACAGCCTGACGTTGAACATTCACTGACAACTCGAAAATATGAAGAAAACTGAAGATGCTCCCCATGACAGCTTTCACAGAACAAGTAGGCATAAGGGGAGACTTTCGACCGGATCTAGACTTGTCAGCTGATTTGATCTTATTTCCCACCTCGAAGAGTTTTGTCAGAGCAATGAGCACCTCTAGTAAACAGGCTAACGTTTGCTCTTGGAGATTTGTGCTATTCGAAACTTTGGTTTCGGGGTTATGGTCATCATCAACTACGCCCTCGTCGCTATCACTATCTGTTGACATAGTTTCGTCAGCCACCCGCTTTCGATGTTTGCTTCCAGTCTGAAGCGTTTGAACGCATCTGCAGACGCATAAAACGGTAACGTAAGTAAGAAATTAAGCGAAATTAAATTAAATTAGCAACTTACGCAAGCAAATGACTATTCAATGGATGGACAAGATCTTTCATGGAGGAACCTTCTTCATTTTCCTTGGATGAAGTATCTCCAAATGCAGTTAACCTTCCACGACCAAGTTTTGAAGAACGACGTTTAGTTCCAAGTTTTAAAGAATCACCAACAAATGACAAGAGAGAAGAGCTCGAACCTGTACGTTGTAGTGATTCACGCTTTTCTACTGTAGAGGAAGTTTGCAAACGATACATTTCCGAAGCTAGGGATGTGAGAATAACTTGGAGAATGGAAAGACGTCTGATATCAAATGCGTCATTGGTATTTCTGTTCCTAAATAAGATAAGAGCATGGAAATAAAAAACAGAATTCTGACGTAATGGTTAAGCAGAGCCTATAAAAAGAGCAAATATACCTCTAAAATCTAAAATCGAAATAAGACTTCTATTTAATGAACAAAAATGAAAAGAAATGAGACTTGCCTGTTAGCGAGTCTCGAAGAAAGTGACCGGGTTTGATTATTGAAGCTGGGATCCAATCTCTCCAGCAGAAAGGTATAGTTCTCAACTTTTAAAAGGAGCTGTACGTATACACCAATGCATTAGAAAGCAGTAAAAATAACCACATAAAATTAAGGTCAATTAGACTCACTCTAGGTAAAATGGATGAAAGCCGAGTATTCAGACTCTTGCTGGGACATTCATAGTCAATAAGAGAATACAAAAGCTCATTCTCATAGAATGGGGTTTCATCCAGTAATTTCTGATTTGAAGTAGGGGAGCAGAGTGACCCCAAAGTAGGCAAAGTGAATGCATCCAACTTGCTGAGACAAAGTAGGTGCACAACTTCGAATCTCTTAAAGGGGGGACCTTTCAAGAGATGAAGCAAAGCGCTCCATCCACACTTGACACCAGAACCGTTTTCAGAAGAAGAGCCAAGTTGGATGACAGAACTCAAAAGGTCGTTTTGAAAGAGTTGAGCCGCAGAGAACCAGCACATTTGGGAGTATGTGTCGTCTTTTATTGGTTGTCTAAAACGTTAAAGACCAAAAATGAAAAAAAGCAAAAATAAAACGGGATTTATTTCATTTAACAGTGGTCATTCTCCCACCTGCAAAACAGACGGAACACTGCCTGAACTAGATCTGTGGTGGTCCGAACTAGTGCTGATAATGAATCACCTTGAAGTAAAGACTTCGTAGAATCAGTTATGATTTCTGCTTTTTCTTGAACGTCAATGAGGAAAGAACTGACATAATTGAGCGTCGTAGTGCTCGAGAACCTTCCAAATTCATCAAGGTAGAGTCCAAGAGTTTCGTAAGCAACAACACGGACCTCGCCAACAGGATGCACCAAGGCAGATAACACACAGGGGAAAGCTAAGAGACAAAATTTGAATTTCAAAACATTCAAAAGACAGAAATTTCTTAAATATATTTAACTAGCAAACCTTTGTCAAGGGCTTTCACTAAAGAGACATTGGCACCGTCCTTGGAGCAAGTAAATGCGACTTTGACTATTTGAAGTGCAGCTTTGCACTGTTGATGAACTAGCATAGCATCGGCATCTTCCGTGTACAATCCTTGTTCCAAACTTTCGGATTGCGTAAATGATGCAAGTGTTGAGATTAGAAAATCCGCTAGCCAATTTTCACGTAAGTCACATTCTGGCCGACATTCTGATAGACATTCGCATTCGGACTTCTGCATCACACAAACCCCATGGGTCCCAATAATGCGATGAACGACTTCGAATTGCTCTTGCATTGAAAGATCCCTTGCAAATAACTGTTCGATAGACATTTTCAGAACTCGCTTTATGGTAAGTTTCTTATGCTTCTTTTTCATATTGGTCTCTTGTACCTTATCCTGCTGCTCGTTTACGTCTTTTCCTGTGAGTTCAACATCCATCATCTACAGAAAACATAAAAGAATGAAGTGCAAGGATAGGAGAAATAAGTACTTTCAAGAAACGTACAATAGTTGACTTCTGAACACGTTCTGATTGTTCAAGACTAGTAGTTGCCAAAGCAGATACATCACCATTCATAAGTTGGTTTACTTCCATGTCTTCTATTACTCCACGTTCTAGTGGAATTAGTTCGTTAAGTGAATTTTCATAAACAACCGCAAGCCTATAATAGACAAGTATTGGAATTATTAATTGACAATTATAATAAAAAATATGAAGATAGACGTACTCGTCGGGAAGGAGTGAGATGCCTTGACATTTCATCAAGAGACGAACCGATCGAATGGTTTTATATTCATCTCCATTGATTGTGGTCTACAAAGGAAGGAAAGCATTAACATGTGACAACAAAGGCCAATCTAGAAAAGAACAAATTGCTAACCTTCAAAAGGCAACTAATCCAATCCAATACCAATTCGCGATTGAGGGTCATAGAACATGCAATACATAGAACGACACAAGTAGCTGAACTTTTAAAAGCGATAATATCACTTCGTAAGCCCTTTCTGAGCGTTCCTTGCAAAGCATTAACAATTTTAGCCTTTTTATGTATAGGTAGTTCCAATCCAAATATACCAACAAGCGTGTAAGTGAAAAAGTTGCAGAAGTTTGAAATTCTATCCAGCCTTAACTCGGATTCGAACTAAAAAATGTAAATGAAAGAATGGGAATAATACTTTAGCACAAGTGTTCATAGATTTGGCGATGAATGGAATTAAAGTTGTTTGATTATAACAGGCTCTGTAAAATTCGTGCCTACTTAACGGAGTACCACGCTCCGCATATGGCTTCAACCAACGCCAATCTGGACTAATATCGTTGTAGTCGAGAAGCTGTATGGCTTTTATGAAAAGTCCAGATTCATAGTGAGGTATCATAAGACGCATAAAGTCATCGACGTAATGGCGCGGAACTTCGTACCTAAATAAAGAACCAATGAAAATCAAAATGCAAATTACTTAAAAACAAGCCACTCTAAGGCCCAGGACGCCTCAGAGGTTCGAATATGCTTGTCAATCATGAAAAGAAATAAGCGAACTTGTTCATCGATGGCTCTTTTTTGAGCTGGATATATACTACACATTTGAAGCCGAAGAGAATTAGGGGAAAACAATGATTCCTCAAATCTCTTTAGCTCTGGATCAACGTCCCGTAACTTGACTAATTCCTTTAAGCCTAAAACATGATAAGATACGTACGATAATCTTACAATCTGTATAACATTTCTCCTGGTTAATTGACGCTGACTGTTCATATACCAGCGACTTTTTGTGCGTATAGTCGGTAGAGTAAGAAGCTGATATGGCAGATCTCTGCCGCCTTAGCTGTTCAGCAAAAGACATCAGGGACAAACACCAGCACGCTATAAATGCAGTGAAAGTTGGGTTGAGCGCAATCTAAATCAGAATAAATAAACAAATTATGATTTAAAAGATGGCTACACTTATTCGATAATATTAATATTATTATTTATTCCCATAATTGATATTTAGGAAACCATTAAAATACATTTTGGTTTGAGTTTAATATTACTTTTTGATGTTGTAGTTCACTCTTCCAAAGATTTTTAAATAACTCTTGATAAATTATTAAATTTGCTCAAATTATTATTTTGAAATAGTTTGTGTTAAGATTTTGTTATTTTGATACGAGCAATATGTTCCGGCAGAATATTCCTCATTAATAAATCGTATGAACGTATGAACCTAGTTTACTTACAAAACGCTTGTTGAAATGAAAGGAGTGTTGATGTCTGAGAAGATAATCATGCCAACTATACTTAATTCAAATTTTGAATGCTCTTGTGTCTAATTTTATTTCATAATTAATATTTGGTTTGAATTCTATTCAAATTAATTTATCTTGATCCTATCTCTTACGCTGAAACATTACGCAATTTAACTGTGCCACCATAAAATAATTTTTTGTTATAAATAAGATTGGACTTTGAAAAATTCATATTTCGTTTTCTTCAACATCAGATAAAGGGAATCACATCTTAAAATTTAGCTACTTCATAAAAAGATTTTGATGTAAACAGATGGTATCTATCCGCACCTAGTGGCCGAAAGAAGAAATGTAGCCTTGTGAGACAATAATCATTTTTTCTAGAAAGTCATTTTCTACATAACAGAAATCAAGTCTTTTGAATTTAAGTTTTCATTTTTTTCATTATTTACTAACGTTTCGTTCATTATACCATCAGATTTAACTTGGCCCAGATCTTTGTTAAGACTAGACATTAAAAGTCAATGACGAAGATATTGTTACTAGGAATTTATGAAAGATCGGGATCAGCTGCTAAGTTTACCACCGCTTAATAATGAAATAAACCACATTTTGGAACGCTTTCACGTTAGAATTCGACTTTAAATTCGATTAGTTGAATTAGGTTAGTTTTAAATAAAATATTTGCATTCTGTATGTTGTGAATTTAAAACTAAAGCATTGAAATATATTAAGAACATGTTTCTTTTTGAACACAAAGGGATAAATTTATTGTCTGCACTCTATATATAATTAGTCGCGATTAGAAAAACCATATAAACGATGAGAGCAAGTATATTTTGCAAATGATTTATGGTCACGTTATTCATTCTTCTCCACCACCTAACCAGATCTGAAGTGTCATAATTGCTGACATCTGCGCAATATTACACACAATTATTAAAGCTTAAACAGACTAGAATACAAATAAAAGAGGATAAACAGGACTAAAGTTAATGCTTCTTTGATTAAATTAAATTAAAAAGCTGATGTATATGTAAAGGGATTAAGAAATACAACGGAAAATTTTAATTCGACTTATTGTCATAGATATTAAACGTTTTACATACTAAGACTTTTATAGCATAACTAGACGAATGAATTGAATGTTTCCATACATAGGAAGTAGTTGAAATTACTACTAACAAAGGGAATATTGAAGACAAGTGCCTTTTATTATTGAATAAAGACCAAGCAGTAATGTGAGTTCTTTAATGAATTTACTTCCTTTTCCTTCAAAGCACTTAAATTTTGATCTGTTCCTCAAAGTATTCGAAAGGAATATTAATTTCTATGGTATTTGTGCCTATAAAAATAGCCAAAACCCTTAAAACCATAGGCAATATTTGATTATCATATGGGTTAACAATAATTACGACCAGTTAATGACCATGGAATTGTTCATACTTTAATTTACAACATACTGTGCATTTTATTGCTCTTTGCACGAATTAATCATCTTATCCAGAACTTTCGTTTTAAATAACTGTATTTACTGCCTTTAATAGATTACTGTGTCAGCTATTTATATATTTGTATCAAATGGCAGGCGTTTTGATAGTTATCATTAGCCCTTTAGTTGACTTCGGCCTTCACAGAGGGGAGAAGGAACATCAAAGTGAAAAAGGTCGAGATGGGGGGGGGGGACAGAAGAGTGTTTCAAAGATGTATAAGAGAGAGACACAAAGTTGGAAAAAAGGTGAGCTGAGTACGGTTGAAGTAGTCGAATTTGACATGCAGTGGGGTGATGGTAGTTTGGAGTCAGAAGTCTATTGCACACCCCATTTATATTAGATTATATATAAGATAAATAATTTTCAGCAAACTTATTCACCCGTCTCATACATAGATATAAATTTTTGAAAAAGTGGGACCAGCTTCAGCCAAAACTATTCACATGAACAATAAATTATGTAAAAACGATTCAATTTCACGGATTTTAGGAATGCGTAATGTAAGGTTAACTGAAGAAAGATTCACAACTTTCAAATTGTCCGAATTGGAGCAGTATTCTGGCCGTCGGCTAATCGTTTTACAATTCAAATAAAGAAGTCCAATGACCTAGAAGTATTTTATACATTGATATTGTTTCAAAAGTAATTGGTGTCGATAATTTCAACGTTTCTTTTATTGTACTTCTGCCCGATTAACTATGTTTCCCAACAATGTAAAAATGTAAAATTGTTATGAATTATAATCAATTTCAATGATTTAACTGCCATATTGAAAGTAATCAATTGGTTACTCAATCAAATATTATTTAGAGTTACCTAATTTAGTCACAATTCCATTTGTTCAATATTGCATATCAATACTCTCATTCTATAATTAAATTCAACGATTTAATCAAAATTGAATGAATAAATTACGCCAGTTTGTAATTTCCGGTATTGAAGGGCTAACTAGTTTATGATGTTGATTTAGCAATCTCAAGGACAAGTGTAAGACCAGAGGTGGCTCGCACTGAAAATTCGTTTAGCCTCTCTGGGTTTTTATATTTCGTTGTTATAAATTTCTATGATTCCCTCTGATCCCGAGTTTACCAATCTTAGTGTTGTTGTCGACAGCAAAAATATTGCAATTGAGCCGAAAGAAACTTTTCTTCCTAAGAATTCGTTGCTCACCCATTGTTTTTGCCAGGTTAGTTTATGATTTTCATTTTCTGTACTGTTGCATTAACTTCACTGTTCTTGTAGTTTAATTATTTGCGTCAATTTATTTAGACTGAAATATGTCAATGCGGTTCCGAAATAGGAGTAACAGAGTCGAATGTTAAAAGCATTTTTGCACATTTGGGTTTTCCTAGTGGAAGGGATGCAATGATTTCAGAAGGTTATAGAATGGATGTACTCCATATTTGGGGCACTCACGATTTGAGTACGAATGATATCTTAAAATGGCTTGATGATTATAATCCAAAGGGAGTTGAATGGATTGATGACTCGTCATGTAAGTATTAATTTTGCTATTATGGCCCTCTTTTGATCAGGTAATGTTCTCTTAAATGACGAAAACACAGTCCTCAGAATTCTCAATAAACTTTCTGAACCTTTTGACCAACGAATAGCACTTGCTGCTATGGCAGCAATCGTTTCTACAATGGATGGTGAGCAGAATAAATTTTCACCCATGCCTAAGGAAACAAGTGCTCATCTTTTGGGTGGATCTGCCGATAATCTGATGCCTCCAAATGGTCGGTGGTTCAAGTCGATCTCTTGTCCTGAACGGGCTTTCTGCATCTATTTTAGAATTGCGCACAAAGGTCTGTTTTTTCGATTCGTTTAATGATATTTATAGTTGCTGTGTGTTGACTCACGATCTTATTTCTTTGGTTCCATATAGCTTTTCTTTGTGAGAAACAGCTTGTGCAAGTTCTGTTAGCCTATTTAGATTCGAAATGCGGTTTAAATTATTGTTATGTAAAGGTTTTTGGTAATGGAAAACGGTGTTAATTTTTGAGAATAGCCGGAAACGCATCAATTATCAGGACAGGACTTGAAATTTGATTGATGATTATAACAAGTTTTGGTGCTATCTATGGTCATGATACATTCATCACTTTCTGTAAATCATTTACAGATTAGGAGAGCAAATCGAATTTTCACTTTACCCGAATCGAACTCTGCTTTCTTGTGAAACTCGAGACCTATGTCAGTTCCCTTTAGAAAAGTATTTTTCCAGATATCATCTCGTGTAGATCAGTGGTGTTATAGATCTTTAAAAAATTCGTATTCTATACCACCACTAAGTTTTTTTTTG